AAATTAAAACGGTAGAATGGTAAACCTTAAGACATTGTTTCAGATTCCACATTAAAACAAAACATGTTTATTTTCTTATTTTATAAAAAAAAGATTGCATGCCAATGTAAAGTTTAAACACATTATGCATAACAGAAAAGTGACAACATGGCTTTGATGGTCTACATATAAGAAGCAGAGTCAGTGAATCGATAGTTGCTATAGCTACAGGCCCTGACATGTGAAGCAGTTGTAACATGGTAATTTATGCCCGTGAGTAAACATTACTTGTAGTTGTGTCTAATAAAATACAGGCAAATAAACTGACCTTCACAGGAATTATTATAATTTGGTAGATTACAGTTCGCTTTAGTTTTTGTTTTTCAGTATTGTACAATATTGCTACTGTACTGTACAATCAGTCTTATAGTACAATATAGTATATTTGTAGAACTTATAACTAAGTGGTTTGTTCCTTACTGTAAATTTTAAAGCATTTATTTACTGTGTAAAGTCTTCCTCCATTCACACTTCAAGAATCTTATCAAACTGAATTGGGCTTTGGGGAAATTTTAAAAAATCCTTATGCATCAAATGGCTTTCTAAAGAACTGAATGGTTGCGAGGTCAGAGATTTACACCCCTTCAAAACACAGAGAAGCCAAAGAGAAAAAAGTGAAAAACCATGGCACTCTTCATTATTATCCTCTATTATAACATGGCTAAGGACAACAAATTAAAAAAAAAAATTAAAGGCCTGTGCCTTCAGCAGAGACAGTGACCTTGGCCATGAAGCACCTTCAATACTAAAATTATTTTCCTACCAGCAGCACCCACTGTTTGCATTTTTTTTTTTTTGAACACAGAAGTCAAAACTGGGCCTTTTGTCGGACAGCAGTAATTGGCAGATACAAACTATCAACCAAAATGGAGCCACTTCAATCTAGAGGCACAGCGTATGGAGATTTGCCATAGACAAGCATTTGCCAGAGACCTGGCCAACACAGCAGTGTATGAAGTCTGTGGGGATGGACCATTTCAAAGCCTGTGTTGGAGCTGCTGTGCCAGTCTCCTGTCCAGCCGACCACTCCCTATTCCAGTTTAATTTTTTAATTTTCCAACTCCATATGGCTGGGGACAGGATCCAATAAATCAAAAGTTAATTAAAGGCAAAGATTCATCTTCAGCCGCACCTCAATCATCTCAAGCCCATTAACAGTGGTGGAGGAGACTGACAGGTCTGGCCTGACAGTTACTGTGGGCTGAGTGTGGGTGTGTTTGTAAATGAGAGAAGGAGATAACATTAGATGCAATGCTGAGGCGTTCCTGTTTTTAAATTCTTAGGAAAACACTGTATGCAGTGATGAGGTGAAGAGGAATTCCACCCAACTCTGTTTTCTGATGAGAGGAACCAGGGGTCGCAATGTCTACAATGCAAATACAGCCAATAGGTAATGTAACACTCACACCAATTCCACCTTCTTTACAGCCAAATTCACCAGTTGCAGATTTTTATAGCTTTTTTTTAACCCAAAGCTCACACAGTGTGAAATAAATGAACACGTAAAACACATTAGCACATTTTCAGTACCTTCTATTAGCCAAATTTGCAATGTACATAACACTATTTGCTCATTAGGGGGTCAAAATGGCATTTAAAACTTTTCACTTTTCACAGTCATCTATTTAAAAAACAAGAACCGAATAAAGTGCCACATCAAAAGTAAGAGGCAACTGACTATTATTACATAATCACCTGATCACAATTATTCATCACATATTTATCACATACTTATTGTAACAAAGAGAATGTTAACTGAATGTGGTTATCAATTGAACTGTGACAAATACATGTAAATAACACCTTTAACATCTCTAGCTACAACATCTTTAGAAGGCAGAAATGAGTAATGTTTGTTCATTTGAGCTGGAGCTGAGTCTGTTGTTAGTTGGGAGCTACTAAGTATCAATAGCTAGGAAGCAAGATACCTAATGAACAAAAAAAAGATGATTAAATTGTTAATCACAATTATTTATAGGGCAATTGTTAGCTAAAATTTCAGTTTTAACTATTTATTTAGCACAATAAGTCATGCATAATAATGCTACCACATTTTGGTATAGGTGTAGCAGCAGCATTCAAATACAGCACAAGTGCACTTTCCCTTCTCATTATATTTACATCATAAAATTGCAACAGAAATCAGCCAAAATCAAAATAATCAACTCATTTACAAGAATGGGCGGGGCTAAACTGCTGTAGGCTGAGGAGGCGTTGGTTTTTGTGACATCACAGAAACAATTAATTCAAAATGGGCTGTTTTTGCAACTTTCTTTCCATATATGAACTGTATGGTATGTTTTGGAAACTTAGCAATGTTTACACATTAAAAAAGTAAGGAAAATGCAGTTTCACGTAACATGGGCCCTTTAAATGCATCAAATTCACAGCATGTTGTCTCCTGCACACAAAAACAAAAGCTACAGCAATCCATGCCCCCCCAACTAGGTTTGGATTGCGCCCAAAGATCACGGAGTATGGCGAAATTTGAACAGATAAAATGGTATGCCGATTGCTATTTTCAAAACTAATATGATTCATTGTTGGCAGCTGTTCCAGCGAAGGCGTTCTCCAAGCTGCTGTACACCCAAACACACACACAGCTGTGGTATGTTCTTGACAGTGACTAACAAAACAGAAAAGGATCTTCAGTCCAAGTCAGAGATCTTATCCGCTTTAATTAGGCTACAAGCACATAGACGCCTTCCATTGACTGGAATTTTGTACTGAAACACTCTTTCTTAATTGTTTGTGCATGCTAATTCGTGCCAAAACAATAAAAGAGAACTGCAGGCTTTTAAAAAGCGCTGTTGTTCGCCAACCCCTCCAGCCAACGCCTACAGTCAGAGGAAGAAAGGAGGGGTGGTGGTGGTTTGGGGGGGAGAAAAATATTCTAATAAATGCATTATCCACCACAAACAACGACGAGAAGTTATTTACTACGCTGCACGTTGCCATGGCAACAGACAGGGGAAATCTGATACCGCAATAAAGCCATGTGACGAGGTGAGGCAAAAATAACTGCATGTGTGTGTGTGTGTGCGCACGCTTCAAGGTGCGATACATTTAGGCTATGTACAGAATCCAGACGCCACACCTCAGAGAAAAAGAAAAAACAAGAAGGATTAAAGGCACCCACCTCTCTTCCCCACCCCCTGATCTGAGAGATTGCAGTAATTAAGAGCGGCTCACGTTAATCGTCACCTTTTCAGAGCTCAGTAACCCTCGAAATCCCAGAGCTGTGTTAAATGATGTGAAGATTTCTCCCTGTCATTTCCCCCCCCCCTACTCTCCCAACGCATGTATTTTCCTGCCCTCCCTCCGTTCCTACTTATCTCATATATCTCTAGGCTTGTCTCAAAGCTTCACTGGACAGAGTCTGATCATTTTTCCCCCTAATTACTTCCACATCACTGAGTCCAAGGGAAGCACAAGAAATGAAAGAGGTTTGATGTTGCCTGTACAATCAGTTAGTAGTTAACAGCAACATGATGGAAACTGCATCCATTTGCAAGTCAACAACTTTGAACCTGCTGCTTGGATTCAGAATGAGGTCGTGACTTTCATCACAGATCTAACAGAGCCACCTGAAATCTGTGCAACAGATTTCACCTGTAAACAGGTTTCACAGTCTACCAGGTGGAGACGCAGGAAGACGTTTTAAGCTGAGAGAGATGAAATTTGAAAGGCCCCATATCATGGACAAAGTAGTTTCCTTTATTTTTTGGAAATAAAGAGTTCAATGTAGTAAAGAAACAAAGAACAGTTTACTGCCCTGTCCATACAGTCCATATATGGAAAACAAAACTGCAAAATCAGTCAGTTTTTGAACTCACTATTTTGTGAACTCGCTATTTTATTTATCCACCTATTCGCTCAAAAACAGTTTAGCCCCCCACACTCATGCTGAAGTTATAAGAAGTGTTTTAGACTTTTTTTTCTAATGAGGCACAATACCAGAAAGCCAATCAGTACAGATTATATTCATTTACATAAATCAGTCTTAACAGTACAGTAACAAAAACAGCCTGTTTAATTCTAAGGGATAATGGGAGGTTGGAAAATAGCCATGTAAAAATGTATTTCATAAACTGGATAGTTCTGGTTCTAAAAAAAATAAATAAAATACCTGAAGAAATGAGTATGGGGGGCCTTTAAGCAGCACATACGTAATATTTGTTGCTGTCCAAAGAATAACAGTATCTCCAAAATGGTAAGTTTACAGGAGAGGGCAAAAACATTTACTTTCAATGTAAGTTAATGTAAAGAGATTTTATTCCAAGTGATTCCAAGAGTATTCTGCTGGTCCATTCATCATGTTCCACACAATGTAAAGGATGGCTGCTGTGTTAAAATGATGTAGAAAAGTGAAAATCTCTGGACAGAAAAGATTTACGATATGAATTTTTGCAATTTTTGGATATTGGAACAGAACGTCTCAATGAGCTGCGACCAATCAGATCATAAAATCTCAACTTTGAATACGATTCAATTTTATTTGATTTAATTATTGTGGTACAATGTAAAACAACAACACGCTTTTTACACTTTTAGATAGTCCGAGAATTTTATTTCGGCCAAAAAAATGAGTGCATACTTTATTAATAATTATTATGATTCACTGATTTTAATATCCCCAGTATCGACAAAGTGAATAATTACCTTTGACGCCTTTTTACAGCCATGCAGTCTGCCAAAGGAACCAAACATTAGCTCTGTAACTGCATAGCATCTGACACAATGGGGAAAGAAGCCTTGCATACCCAACTGACCAAAAATAGCAGTGGTTTCTAACCCTGGTCCTGTTCTGCACATTGTTTTCCTGCTCTAAAACACCCACTGCAAGAGCTTATTATTGAGCTGATTGGTTGGATCAGGTGTTTTAGAGCAGAGAAAACACTAAAATGTGCAGGACAGGGCTACTCCATTCTGAAACACTGGACTATAATGCAGGGTCTTACTCTGTGAACAGGTGGGCGGTGTCCTGTCCCGCAACCTCTGGCCATTCGGCGCTGCCTCTTCGTCCAGATCCACCAACTGCCAGAGGCTCCTCCCCCTGTCGTCACGGCGATCAAGGCGAAGGCGGAGCCTGACGCTCTGCACGCCGAGGACGTTTGGTATCCAGGAGACGGCGGAATCCTCCAGATCCCTGCCACGCAGTCTCATTCCCTCGGCAACACACGCTCCAGCCCAAACATTACACTGAGGAAGGCAGAAAAATCTGATTTTAAACATCCCACCAGTGACAGAAAATCTCAATATCAACATATTACAATGCAGTGCCACTCGACTTAAGATGAGAAATAAAACTGGAGTGTTAACGAATCATTTCAATGCATGACAACTGTTTCCAAGTAACAGTTTTCCAAGTAACAAAGTATTCTTCCAGGGTTATGTTATGATCTATTCAAACCCATGGCATTAATTGGCATTAAATGGCATTAAAAGTTGTTTTTTTCAAAAGACCTTTTTGATATTTTTAAATGAAAGTGAAATCTACATTTATCATTTAATTTTTAACGTTTAATTTTCCGAAAAACGTTTTATAACCTTTGCAACCCTTGTAACCCTCAAAAATTGTCACACCTTAAACAGATTTTCTGCAACTTTTTTGTGTTTCACTAAAAAATATCAAGAATTTGTGTGTGTACAACTGTCCAAAGCTGTATTTGTTAGTCATGTACTGGCTAGCATTTTTGAGCTACACTTAAAATTAGTTAAACTGTCACTACCACAACTCACTGCTGAAACATCTGGTAATGTTTTGGAGGTGTCATTATTATATTAGTAGTGACAAAATGCAATGTTTAATCATTTGTTTTAATAAAATAAACATAAATAACACATAGGGTCACTCAAAACAAATGGATTTTAGTCTAAGTCAGTCCAAGTCAGTTAAAAGTCCAAAATGTGTTATCAACTCTGACTTTGAACCAGCTCTGTGGAATGATCCATGTATAATTATTCACCCTTAAACTAAAGACAAACCAATTAAAAGCTATGATGAATTTGCCAGTGCCTCAGAGCAGTCCATTTCCATCCTATCATAACCTGTTAATTAACTATTTCCTAAAGCTAATTGCTCCTCTCCACCTCAACACAACAGCGCAATGGAACAATGCTTTCACCTGAATGACCAACTGATTCATAAAATTGCATGCAAATGAGACAACTGCGCTCCACAAAAGGGCCATTGTACAGCCAAGTCTAAACAGTTTGCCCTGCGGGGTAAAGCCCATTTTTCTGCAGACTAAATAAGAAAAAGTGGACAAGGCTCTTCTTCTCTTGTCTTCCCTTCCATCAACATCTTCCTCTTCCATTCAGAGCACCGTCAGTGTCTCTGTGCCAAATACCGAAGCCAAACCTCTGTGCCAATATCCATGCCATTCCATTACCATTTTGGAGAACTAAAACATACATCCTCACAAAATTTAAATGTAAACGTCTTCAAACTTATATAATCATATTAGCTTAGTCTTTAAAAGTCATTTCGAAATTTCTGCATAATTAAAAGGTTAAGATGTAGATGGATTAATTCAGAGTGGTCCTGATCCAAAATGACCAGTAAACTTACACGTCTCCTGAGTTTTATATGTTATTGTTTATTATTTTTGCCTTACGACATCATGCATGTACCCTGCCACCATAAATCAATTTTTGAATAGATATTGCACAACTATCAAAAAACAATGTCTCAGGCACTAGGCAGCATGTTAGTAAGCATTTAATGTACAAACTTGCTGTGAGGAAGCTTTTAGAGGCATTAAAGTCATCAAAGGCACTGTTTTATAATACAACCCCAATTCTAAAAAAGTTGGGACACTGTGTCAAATGTAAATAAATGTAAATAAAAGCAGAATGCAATGAGTTGCAAATTATATAGACCCATATTTTATTCACAATAGAACATATAACACAGATGTTAAAAGTGAGACATTTTACCATTTTGTGAAAAATACTAACTCATTTAGAACTTGATGGCAGCAACGCATCTCAAAAAAAAAAACAAAAAAAACAACTGGGAAGTGAGGAGAACAACTGCTGGTGTTTGCAGTATGTGGTAGAACACTGTCTTGCTGAAATATGCAAGGTCTTCCCTGAAAGAGATGGTGTCTAGATGGGAGCATATGCCTCTCTAAAACCTCTATATACTGTTGAGCATTGATTGTGCTGTTCCAGATGTATAAGCTACCCACGCCATAGGCACCCCATACCACCAGAGAGGCAGGCTTTTGAACTGTCCGCTGATAATAAGCTGGATGGTCCCTCTCCTCTTGAGTCCGCAGAACATGGCGTTCGTGGTCTCCAAAAAGAATTTCAAATTTTGATTCATCTGACCACAGAGCAGTTTTCCATTTGGCCTTAGTCCATTTTAAATGAGCTTTGACCCATAGAAGACGGCAGCGTTTCTAGATCGTGCTCACATTTGGCTTCTTCTTTGCATGATACAGCTTTAACTTGCATTTGTGGACTGCACAGCGAACTGTGCTCACAGACAATGATTTCTGGAAGTGTTCCTGAGCCAATGCAATGATTTCCAGTACAGAATCCTGCCTGTTTTTAATGCAGTGCCGCCTGAGGGCCCGAAGATCACAAGCATCCAATATTGACCATCGGCCTTGTCCCTTGTATACAGGGATTTCTCCAGATTCTCTGCATCTTTTGATGATATTATGTACTATAGATGGTGGGATTTCCAAAGTTTTCGCTATTTTATGTTGAGGAACATTTTTCTGAAATGGTTTGACAATTTTTAGATGCTGTTTTTCACAGATTGGTGAACTTCTACCCATCTTTGCTTCTGAGAGACTCTAAAATGCTCTTTTTATACCCAGTCTTGTGAGTTACTTGCAAATTGCTCCTCCAGCTGTTTTTTTTATTAGTACCACTTTTCCAGCCTTTTGTTGCTTCTGTCCCAACTTTTTTGAGACGCGTTGCTGCCATCAAGTTCTAAATGAGTTAATGTTTTTCATGAAATGGTAAAATGTGTCACTTTCAACATCTGATATGTGTTCTATGTTCTACTGTGAATAAAATATGGGTCTGTGAGATTTGCAAATCTTTGCATTCTGTTTATTTATTTATTTATTTACATTTGACACAGCGTCCCAACTTTTTTAGAACTGAGGTTGTAGTTTTGAGATATGTTTTGTTACGGCCTAAAACATATTTTTATTATAAGGCGTTATAATTAGAAGAAACCTTCTTTTTTCAGATTTACACTGTTCTATCATCATTAACATTTGTAGGTTATCTGCATGCTTTGGATAGTAAATAAAATGTCTATATATGTGTGGTAAACATTGTGACTCTTGTTTCCCATTACCACCACTGTGAAGAAGTCTAAATCAGTAAGTTTTTACAATGCACTATTTCACATCAAACCACTCTGAATGACTTTGTTTCCACCTCAAAGATGGAATTATAAAGAATTTTTTGAAACATCTATGGAATTCCCCTTTAAGGGTTTTTTTTTTTTTTAAATATCACACTGTATGCGTTTCAGGGTTACACTGCTTACTCTGCACTTTTTTGCACATTTATTTGGTGTAGTGACTCATACTTTACGTAACATCAAAAAGAAGGTTAACTGTGCATTCCACACAACAGTCCCAAAGCATATATAAAGAAATTATGAAAGTCCAGAAATGCCATAAAAGGAATCGCCACCTGACTCGCTGAAACCTGAATTCATGAAAACCAATAAAGAGTAGAAGGCAGGGATTTGACTTAATGAAACAGCGCGGGCCCCTCACCAAAGCTCAGACACAAGGTTTTGATTATGTCCTTATAAGCGAAAAACAGCCGCAAGACGGGATACATTTGGTATTAGAGCTCTCTGGATGGTGAGTGGGTGAATGCACATGCATTACATTGGAAGAAAAGGAGAGGGACCTCTAAAGAAAGAAAAAAGCTGTGGTGTTGTCTAAACTCACACTGAACTAAGAGTGCATTGTTAGTATAACGGATCACGTATAGTTAGGTTCGTCCACCATTAAACTTCTCACCTTTTCCCATAGACTGCTAGGCTACAGCTGTCCCCATATTCAGGAGAACGTTTCTCAATTACCCCAGTTTACTCAAAGACATTAGGTGCTGTGTCTTATCTGAGAGCTGTGTACAAAGGAGAGAAAGCTAAAAGCCTTCTCTGTTGCTGGTACAGAGAGTTGGAGTGGGGAAGGTCATTCCCACAATGGGCTTGTGTGTTTTCACTGATAAAGCTTGACAGGAGCTGGGGACCTAAGTGATGACTGGTCATCTCACACTCTGTCTGGCTGGATTTGTTGGGGATCTCTGGTGGGAACTTGCCAGATTTGGCCAATTTGGGCGGCTTTTGGTGAATTTAGCACTATTTAATAATGCAGCTGAGATTTGAATGGACCTAACTTCTCCCCACATCCAAACAGTTAACAAAACTTTGACTGACATACATTTTAGTCAGTCCTTTTAAGAGGAGGCTGTTGCCCCACCCATCTGTGTCATTCGCAACTGACATCAGCAGTTGGCATACCCAGTTTATTACTGATGTAATGGATGGACTGTACAATGTACTACTATCATAGAAAATTGGAATGGCATGTGATCTGTTACTAATAAGCTAATACTGGTTGTACTGTTGCATCCATACTGCATGCACACATACAAAAGCGTACTGTCTGCATTTTTCAGCATTCTGCTAGCATACATGCTAAAACATAAAAATTAGCTACCCTCGTAGAAATCTGGTATATGGCCGTGTATGCATATTAAAAAAATATTTACAAATATGTTGCATATTTTTATAATCCTATATGCATAATACATGGATCATACATATATATATATGTCTGATACATGATTGAATTAATCTCAGCACACTATATGTTATACATCCCAGTACAACATATACAGTGCCCCAACCCAACACACCCAATATATGTTACTATGTTATCTGCTTAATAATAATTTTATTTATTTTTACAATATTTAAATTTGCCAGGGAACAATATTTTCCATTGATGTCTTGTTTTCATTATTTTATTACATACCATACAATGTGCATGTTTCTAGAGTTTAGTTATGTAGTTTGTATATTAATTGTAAATAATAAAATGAAGCAAGCATATACGAGTAATATATGCCATCCATATGTGAACAGTGTTTTCCATCATATATTGTGTTTGTATATTCATATATGACCGAAATATATGCCCCACATTTGA